GTGAACTGTACCACAAATGATTCTGTTTCTCTCCCCACCCCGTGATGACCATCATTTTATAGGTGGGGAGCCTTTATCACCTGAATCCCTTAGTACTCTGTGGAGCCTAATGTCTTTTTAAACTACAGCAATTGTCTGAGCAAGAAATGAAGATTTTTCTAATATTTGGGGGCCATTTCCCATTGTAACATAAACTTTGGCTCTTTCAACTGAAATACAATTTAAATGTTATCAACAGGAGAGTTAATAAATAAATCCCAGAACACTAATGCAATGATATACTACAGAGCTATTAAAAATTAATGAGCTAGAATCATACACCCAAATGTGAACAAATCTCCCCAAAATAATTGTCAGCAATTGCAATAGAATACAGAGAGGGCGATATTACATATGAAGATTAATACCTTGAAAGATAATACTCTATATTGTTTAGTAAAGCTGTCTATCTATTAATAAACTATAAAGAAACATGAGAATTTGAAAAACTCAGCTTCAAGATGGTTGATCTCCCAAAGTGACCAGAAATGATCATGTGGAAATACCCAGAGGCTTTTAACTGTTCTTTTGATGACTCATTTCTTATGCTTGGTGGTAAATTTGTGGTGTCTTTACATATTTTCCTCTAAATTCATAGTTGCCTGGATTACTTAAGCCCGTTTTTTTAAAGAAGCCTTCTTCAAGATTTCCAGATATCTTTGAAGATATCTGTTTGAAATAAAATAAGTTTTACGTATTTATTTACTTTTTCATATTCCTGGTCATTCTGCAGATGTATTACTATTATATTTGGAACAATTTTATAGTTGATGATCTTTAATTTTGTTTTAGTAGCAGCTTGCCTAAATAATATTTTTAGTATCAACTATAATAATAACTTCTTAAGCTTAAATAAAAAACTAGCTCTGTTTATTAAAAAACTTACAAATTTGAACATGTTATGAATAACTTCTTTTATCTTACCATTTTGGGAGCAGGATTTGCTTTACCTTCCAAAAATGTAAACCCTCTGCTCAAGCAGTCATTAAAGGCTTCCAGTTTTATTTTCTGGAAGGAGAACAAATATTTGCCATTGAAAGAATATTACATATGTCACTTATTAAAAAACATGTAAAAGATAGTAAGCCAGATTGCTGGATCTGATGTTATTAAAGAGCTTTGGGGTGAAGAACAAGGCTTCATGTCAGTTCTTATTAGAACTTAGTTTTTAGCAGATAGCAGTGCAGTGAGGCAAAATACTAGGCAGCGCTTTCACTACATCAGGTCAACAAACCCAGATGTGTTTCTAAGCTTTGCCCTAGTACCTGCCTGTACACAGAACATTGGTATGTTCTTTCTGACCTAAAGTTTGTCAAATTTCAACTTTTTGATCAACATTGCAGTTAATAAAAGGATTCTGTCAAATAGAATTATTCTTTGATCAAAAAACATCTCAGAATGGATGAAAACCAGGAGTTTCCAACATTGGGAAAATTAATATTTTGATGGACTTACATGCTGAATAAAAATGTTATAGCTGCCAAATGGCCTGTTTCAAAAGATGAGAAAACATTATTATTGAGCCCAGAGTAAACGCTATTTTAAAAATACATTGTTAGAATTGAATTTCTTTGCTTTAAGCCATAACTAACAACAAATTCAGGGCACGTGGTTTTACCAAAAATTGCAATTGTGCATGACTTCTTTTGCTTGGCTGTGTAGAATGTAAATATTTAGAGTACTTTAAGATTTGGCTCTTTTGTAACGGTAAATTGAGTTAGCTAAAGTCCTATTTATTTAAAATGGATAATTATCATTAAAAAATATATACAGTCAAAACACTTTCCAGGTCATTCTAAATGTAAAAGTATACATGATCTTTGCTTTCCTCAATAATCTTTAATATATCCTAAGTTTACTTGACTTCATGGAAACACAGATATGTTATGATCATGATATTACAATAGGTTTAATTCCCTTCAAAGGAGTGAAGCTTGATGACAGATATTTCTTTTTACATTAGCAGAATCTTTCATTGAATTATTTTGCCCTTATTGGGAAGAATTCAGTGAAAGAGAGAGAGAGAAAGAGAGAGAGAGAGAGAGAGAGAGAGAGAGAGTGTGTGTGTGTGTGTGTGTGTGTGTGTGAGAGAGAGAGTGAGAGAGTGGAGACAAGGATATTTCTCTCATGTATATTATATTATTCTCTACTATTATTTTCATCATCATATAAATATTTATTTTATAATATTACAAAACAGTTATTGCTAAGTGTGAAAACTGGTAAATTTTAAGATCTGCCTTACACATTTGAAGGTTTATGAGCATGTTTAATTTTTACTCTGTTTTAAAATACTCACTTTGACATAATGATATTCATATTTTCTTACTTCTCGATTCACTTCAAGAAATTTATCTTTCAACTCACTGTATTATTTTTATGGTTGTTTAAATAGAATAGGAAATAAACACTTGAAACTCTAGCAGCTGAATTTATCATTGACTGTCAAGTGTTTATAAGTTTAATCAGAATAAAAGACTAAAATAAAGGTGTTAAAGTCATACTCTATATAAAAATTTTCTCATATATATATTTAAACCTTTGCTAATAAAGAAGCAAATATATGTATACTAAGTACTTCCTTCTTGAATAAAGTCTGTGGTTGATACTCTCACATAATAATTCCTCACAATAAATACTTCAGATCTCCTGAAAACTTCTTTGTTTCTATTTTAAATATTGTATAGTCAAATTTCAAGAACTTAGGACATTCCTTTTTGTAATATGTGAAAAACGTTTAAGGCTCTGGCCAAAGAAAATTTTAAAATTTTATTTCAGATATACCATGGGAAATAGCAGACAAGATGAAAACAATGAAATATCCCAATATTCCATAACAGCAATTTTTCATCAAGTGCTCTGTACAAGAAAGTGAGTGATGGTTGATGAACAAAAAACCCAACTTCAGTTATTCCACAATTTAAAAGTAAAAAAGAGTAACTGTAATTTAACACTAAAATCACAAATTATTCATTCAGTGAAGTGACATTTCAAATTTTTAGTACATGTTTTTAGTTTGTGGTGTTTAGTCACGCATGCCTTCCATAGCTGTTGACTAATATAAATACTCCTTTGAGGTAAGAAAATATTTTACTGTAGGGATACCTTAGTGATATAGATTCAGAATAATTTAACTCCCTTGAACCAGAAGGTCAAACACTTTACCTTTAATCCTTTAAATTGAGTTTCATGCCATTTATTCAGATTGGGACAAGGTCTTATAGTGCAAGTTTCTATACACTCATTGTGAATATTGAATATTTTGGGGTGTTGCTGAAGGCCACTGAATATTCACTAGCATTGGTTGATGTCCAACATGGCATAATATCAAATATCCCAATATTAGTAACTTACCTAATCTGTAGAAATATTTACGCTATATTTAATATTCAGATTTCAGTTTGCAGGGCAGATTTTTGCACACAAAGTACCATAAATCTTACTTTCAAGTGTCTTGGAAAAAGTCTGTGAGGTCGAGCACAATGAATTTCTACTGATCTGCTGCTGTATGCCGAACCTACGGCGGGACACTGAATGTAAAACAGTGGGCTTAGCGCCGGAAATCTCTGCCTTCGCAATACTGGATTATACAGAATGTTCAAAGAACTGAAATACGAGAGGTGGTGGTTATACAATTAGATGGTTACTTTACAGATTTAATTTTGAAGTGTATAGAACAATGTAAATGAATTTAAACTGAAGGATTATTAAGACCCAGTTGCTTTTGCACAAACATTATAAGTTACTACTCTGTAAAGCCCATAAAATTACTGATTCATTAATTTTAATCATTGAAATAGAGCTTATTGTTCTGAAAATACAAACTCAAACCCTTGAGTCTGTGATTTTAGACTAAAAAAAAAAGAACATAATACAGCATTAATTGGTAAAGTTTTTATTTTGGCATATTTCCACAAGGGGGCGGTACACACATTTAAAGTAAAAATTAAAGCTTTTTCTAAGTTGTAGATGTCTGACAAATATTTGTCTCCTATAATTTATTTGCAAGTTTAAAACATACATTTTTGAGTAAAAATGCAATGTTATATTTTAAACATATTTACCTCTGTAATTTAAGAAGGCCATTAGGTTAGAAAATGCCCTTTATTACTACAAAAAATAAGTAACATAGACCGTAGATAGAAAAATAGATAGGGGGAGGGCAAGAATAGTAGGGGAAATATAGAATCTAAAGAACTTGAGACACGTGGTTATAAACTAAAGGGGGGGATGGTGGGGGAGGGGTGTGCAGGGTGGAGGGGAATGAAGGGGGGACTAGAACAACTGTAATGGCATAATCAATAAAATATATTTTTAAAAAAGAAAATTTAGAATTCTTCATTTTATTTAAATAAACAACTAAAATACATATTATTATGCCAGCAGGAATTAATTAGTTATTCTCTGAGTATTAAAAAAAGTTTGCTTAATTGAAATTATTAAAGTAATTGCCTTTTTCACAAAGATGTTGCCCAGGGCAAAGAAGGGAGCTTCTGCGCCTCCCAAAGCCAAAGGTAAAGCAAAGGCTTTGAAGGCACAGAGAGCAGTACTGAAAGGTGCCCACAGCCACAAAAAAATAGGAGAAAATATGCTTGTCACCCTTCTTTTGTTGCCCCAAAACCCTGCAGCTCCCAGGTAGCCTAGATATCCTAAGAGCACTGCCAGGAGAAGCAAGCTTGACTACTATGCTATCATCGAGTTCCCCTGACTACCAAGTCAGCCCTGAAGAAGAGAGAAGACAACAGTCCCCTTGTGTTCATTGTGGATGTCAAGGTCAACAAGCACCAGAACAAATGGACTATGAAGAAGCTCTGTGACATTGACTTGTCCAGGTCAACACCTTGATCAGGCCTGATGGAGAGAAAAGGGCGTATGTTCAACTGGCTCCTTACTAGGATACTTCAGGTGTTGCCAACAAAGTAAGCTTCCTTTGCCATGAAATTCCTTAACCCCACATCTAGGATACAAATGATGTGTCTATTAGTGACCAAAGCCTGACTTTTGCTGATTAGTCTTAACTGATTGACTAAAACCTTCTCCTAATAGGCCCTACTTTCTGCCCACATTTTGTTTTTTAACCATGACATTCCAGCTTAATCTTCACATTTCAACTTCTTTTTTAAAACTGTTGTTCAAGTACAGTTGTCTCCATTTTCCTGCCACCACTTTCTCCCTCCCCGACCACCTCCTACCTTCAATTCTTCCCCACTTTGGCTTTGTCCATGGGTCCTTTATACATGTTCCTTGATGACCCTTCCCCTTCTTTCCCCTGTTATCCCCCTCACCCCTCTCCTCTGATTACTGTCAGTTTGTTCTTTTTTCCATGTTTCTGGTTAAATTTTACATGCTTTTTTGTTTTGGTGATTAGGTTCTACTTATAGGTGAGATCATATGGTATTTGTTTTTCATTGCCTGGCTTATTATAAAGCTTCTTTTTTCAGATTGAGATCATCTGAACTGAGTCCAGCTGGCTAATTATAAATAATTATATACAAGTTTTATACTGTAAAAAATTAAAGTAATTATCACAGGAAAATTATAAGTACTAGTTCAAATGAATAAAAATAATTAAGGGATTTTATTGAAATAGACTATGTAAGAAAAATAAACATTTTTTTCTTCTGATCTGTTCATGAAGACCTAGATTCCTTTAGCTTGAATAGTATGTTAAAATCTTGAGCCCTGGCTGGTGTAGCTCAGTGGATTGAGCGCGGGCCTGCAAACCCCACTATCGCGGTTGGATTCCCAGTCAGGGCACATGCCTGGGTTGCAGGCCGGTTCCTTGCAGGCCAGTTCCCAACAGGGGATGCACAAAAGGCACCCATACATTGATGTTTCTCTCCCTCTCTCCTTCCCTTGCCCTCTAAAGATAAACAAATAAAATCTTAAAAAACAAATCTTGATACTTTTTATGGCAATCATTTGTATGATTACAAGATTAAATATTTTTTTACCATAAAGATGTATAGTGTCAGTATCTATAATTGCCAGAATTAAAACTATTTCCTGTTCAAAAGTTGGTTTTCAGCTTGTATTGGTTTTCTATTTTTACATGTATAAGGGGAAAAAGCGTGCAATTATGTCTTTTTGTAGCAATCTAACTGAACATTAGTTTACTTATTAGTGTTAATAGAGGTTATTATTTCTGCAATTTTAATAAAAGATTATCACAGTGTACTACAAAAGTAACTCAAATAGCTTGAATATCTATAGTACAAATAATTACATTGCTTGAAAGATCCATCTTCAGGTAATAAGTAGGAAAATAGAAGTCTAAGGCAGAGATCAAGAGAAATGATCCCCTACAGTGTTCATCTCTTAAACACCTAAAAGCCTTTCTCTTTTAAAGGACAAGTGGGTTATAGGGCCCTCTGTAAATCACCAGGCTGATAAGCATTTTGATTTCTTAATCTTTGTAATAAGACTGTAACTGTAGGTATGTGATCAACATGGCCTTGTAAATTTTAAAGTGTTTTCAATGAAATAAAAAATGACCTTATTGATACCCTCTAAATTCTACTATATAGAATCCAAGCCTTGAATTCCCAGTCAAAGCTTGCTCTCCCACTTCTGTTTCATGTAAAACTATTGACTTTTCTTTTAATAGGTGCAAGAAAAGGCCACTTGTTAATTCAAACAAGCAATTGTAATTGATTTTTGAGAGGGTGTAAATTTATGTTCACCTCATATATTTTAAGTGAACAGGAAGAGGCTAGGAGAAAGAAGGTGGAATATGGCAATAAGTTACTGTAAGTGCAGGTTACTGAATGTAGAGTGTATTTTCCATTTATTCACGTGTTCCACATTTTTGAAGGCCTACTGTGTAACAAGTTATATACTATGCAGTGGAAATAGAATGAAAAGTAAGACACAATACCTGCCTGTAAGGAGCATGTTGGCAAAGGATTCATGGGGGAAGAGAGTCAAAGATGAGTTCACTTATTAAATAGTAGGTATTTTAAAAAAGAAAAGTTTGTATCAGTAGAATACTATGCATTGTTTGCATACAGCATAACTTTTAGGTTATATGATCTCACCCTGTACTTGCCTTGAGCTATTTTGGGATTCTAAATCGTAAGTAACTGACATGTAGATTCCGTCCTGTCTGGGTGAGGTGCAAATGACTTCCTATCCCAACAAGTCCCCTTACTGCCATCCCCATATTTTCCTCAATTGGGGCCATTTTGCCTCTATTTGCACATTTATTTCAAAATACCTTTATGCTCTATAATTTTTACCTTTTTGAACTGATATTATATATACACACATACAGAGTCTGCTGGTTCTGGTTCCCTTGTGAGAAAAATAAAATCTTTAATATGGGTTCTTTTTTTATATCTCTACAAGAGTCACAATTTTATCTTATTTTGAAAATTGTTTTGAAAAGGATATATAGTTGGATGGATGAGAGTTTAGATATTAGAACTTAGTTGGTAGAAGGCACCTAAATTTATTGAAGCAGGTGAGATATCCCAAGCAAAGGGGATATAAAGGGAAAAGAAGTTGAATAAAGAACCTCAAGGAAGGCTAAAATTTAAGAAGTGAGATTTTGGACAGATGTCCTTATATATATCACATATTTTTTCCCACTTGAATTTTACTAAAACAAATATAATTTTCACTTTTCAATTCAGTTTAAGGTTTCTGGAATAGAAACATGTAGAATACATTGTTATAATTATTTATTATTTTCTTTTTATTGAATTTATTGGGGTGACACTGGTTAACATTACTCAGGTTTTAGGTGCGTAATTTCACAATACATTATCTACGTACTGTATTGTGTGGTCACCACCCCAACTCAAGTCTCTCCCATCAGCATTTCCACCTTCCACCATCCTCCTCAGCCCTACATTCACCACAGTGTCGTCCATGATTTTTTTCTTTTTTTCTTTTATGCTCGATTCCTTGACACCCCTACATGGCCCCCTTTCCAGTTTGGATGTTTCTTATTTCTTTTTGTTTTCTGATTGCTGTGGATAGGACTTTCAGCACTATGTTGAATAAGAATGGTCAAAGCAGACATCCGTGTCTTGTTCCCAATCTTAACGGAGATGTTTGTAGTTTTTGCCCATTGAGTGTGATGCTGACTGTGGGTCTGTCTTATATGACCTTTATTCTATTGAGGTGTGTTCCTTCTATTCCTACTTTGCTGACAGGTTTTATCATTAGTGGGTGCTGTATTTGATCAAATTTATCTCCGGCATCTATTAATATGATAATATGGTTTTTATTAATTTTTTAGTGGTTATCACATTTATTGACTTGCAGATATTGTACCAATGTTGCATTTCCCCCCAAATCCCACCTAATTGTGGGGTATGATGTGGGATATGATAACGCATTGCTGGACCCAGTTTGCTCATATTTTGTTGAGGATTTTACAACTATGTTCATCAGGGATATGGGCCTCTAACTTTATCTCTTTGTAGTGTCTCTATCTGGTTGTGGAATTAGAGTAATGCTGGCTTCATAGAATTAGCATGGAGTTTTCCCTTCTCTTGAATATTTTGGAATAGTTTGAGAAGGAGAGGTATTAGTTCTTCTTGAAATGTTTGGCAAAATTCACCTGGGAAGCCATCTGTTCTGTGACTTTTGTTTGTTGAGAGTTTAATTACTGCTTAAATTTTACTCTTTGTAATTTGTCATTCAGATTCTCTGATTTTTCCTGATTCAGTTTTGGAAGACTGACTATATTTCTAGAAATTTATCCATTTTTCCAGATTGTCTAATTTCTTGGCATAGAGTTGTTCATAATATTTTCTTAAAATCCTTTGCATTTCTGTGGAGTCAATTGTTACTCCTCTTCTCCCATGACTAATTTTATTTATGTGGGTCCTCTATTTTTTTTGATAGGTTTGGTTAAAGGTTTGTCAATCTTGTTTATCTTTATAAAGACTCAGCTCTTGATTTTATTGATTTTTTGTACTGATTTGTAGACTATTTTATTTCTGCTTTAATCTTTATTATTTCCTTCTTTCTACTCACTCTGGGCTTTGTTGTCCTATTTTAAGTTCCCTTAAGTGTAAAGTTAGATTGATTATTTGAGATATTTCTTCTTTCTTGAGATAAGCTTATAATACTGTAAATGTCCGTCTTAGGACTACTGTTGTTGAGAAAACAATGTAGATTTTGGGTTGTTGTATTCTCATTTTCATTTGTTTCAAGATATCTTTTGATTTTTCTCCAGATCTCATTGTTAACTTCTTCATTGTTTACTAATATGTTATTTAGCCTCTATGTCTTTGTTTAGTATTTTCCTTGTGACTGATTTCTACCTTCATAGCATTATGGTCAGAGAAGATGCTTGATATTGAATTAAGAACAATCTGAAAGTAACCAGAGGAGAGGTGGGAGGGGACAGTGAGGGGAAAGGTTTTCAGGAACTACTATAAAGGAAACATGAACAAAACCAAGTGGGAGGGTGGAAGCAAGGGAAGGAGGTGGGTTTGGCTAGGGGGGGGGGGGTGATGGTGGGGGAAAATACAGACAACTGTAACTGAACAACAATAAAATAATTTAAAAAATTATTGGGACCCCCAAAAGAAATTATTTCAATCTGTTCCAATTTATTGAGACTTGTTTTGTGAGCTAACATGTGGTCTGTCCTAGAAAATGTTTCATGTGCTCTTGAAAATAATGTATATTCTGCTGCTTTGGGGAGAAATGCTCTGAAGGTATCAATTAAAAACATTTTCTTGTGTGCCATTTAAGGCCATCATTTTCTTATTGTTTTTCTGCCTGGAAGATCTATCTATTGTTGTCAATGGGGTGTTTAAATTCCTTATAATGGCTGTATTACTGCCAATCTCTCTCTTTATGTCCATCAAGAATTGCTTTACATATTTAGGTGTTCCTATGTAGGCTGCATAAATGTTTTTAAGGGTTATATCCTCTTGTTGGATTGTTCCCTTTATCATCATGTAGTGTCCTTCTTTATCTCTCACTATATCTTTTGCTTTAAATCTATTTTGTCAGGTAGGAGTGTTGCGACCCCAGCTTTTTTCTTCTTTATTTATATAAAATATTTTTT